CCTTCTCTTTGTAGTCACTTCTCCACAATTTATCACTCATTGTAAAAATGGTATAGTCCAACTACCTTTTTGGAGTTTTTACTTCTTTCCAGTGAAGTCCCATAAACATAAAAAAAAAAAAAAGTAGCATTAATAAAAATGTGTATGCCTTTTCTCCTGTTAATCTGTCTTTGTCAGTTTAATTTATAGGACCCATTCATTAACTGAGAGGGCAGAAGAGAAAATTTTTCTTCCCCTACACTAGAATAAGCAGAGGAGAAAGGAGAGGAGCCCTATGAGGGGTAGGGTAGGAGAAGTATCAACAGGGTTAAGAAGTAAAGGAATAAAAAGAATTGGAGGGCGCCTGGGTGGCTCAGTCATTAAGTGTCTGCCTTCGGCTCAGGTCATGATCCCAGGGTCCTGGGATCGAGCCATGCGTCAGACTCCCTGCTCTGCAGGGAGCCTGCTTCTCCCTCTCCCACTCCCCCACTTGTGTTCCCTCTCTCGCTGTGTCTCTTTCTGTCAAATAAATAAATGAATAAATAAAATCTTAAAAAAAAAAAGAATTGGAAATCCCAAACTCACAGGAAGGCAAGTAAATTGCTGGGTGAACATGTATTTTATATATTGCGTGAGTGATAGGATCCCAAAACCACAGAGAACTGGCAGATTCATGCCAAATCTATAAGGGGCAGCTTTCTCAACCCAAGCCAGTTATTGCCTTGATGGGCAATAGGAGCCCAGTCCTGCCAAGTTATCTGATTTACATTTTCAAGAAAACACAGCAATCTAGATTTTTAGATAATATCTTCATGCTTATAAATGACTCAAAATTCTTTAAAGCATTAGTTAGTCCAAACAGAAAATGACTCTTGGGCTGATTTGGATACTAGTTTATCACCTCTGGGCTAGAGTCTAAAAAACTCTTTACTGCACCGAAATTAGACCAGTGTCTGTCTGGTTCACCATGTACCTGATTTACATGTTGGCAGGACATGGCAACCAGGCTGAAGTATCATTGGGTAGACAACAGAAATCAGGTTTGGAGCTTTTATTCAGAAAGACCTAGAATGAATGAATGAATAAATAAATATATAAATAAACAAGGTGCCTGGGTGGCTCAGTAGGTTAAGTGTTGGACTCTTGATTTCAGCTCAGGTCATGATCTCAGGATTGTGAGATCCAGCCCCACGTTGGGCTCCATGCTCAGCATGGAGCCTGCTTAAAATTCTCTCTCTCTCGGGGTGGGGAGGTGTCTCGGTTGGGTGTCTGCCTTTTGCTCAATTCATTATCCCGGGGTCCTGGGACTGAGCCCCGTGTCTGGCTCCCTGCTCTGCAGGGAGTCTGCTTGTCCCTCTCCCTCTGCTCCCCCCAACTCATGCTCTCCCTCTCTCTCTCAAATAAACAAATAAAACCTCAAGAAAAAAAAAGAGGGGTGCCTGGGTGGCTCAGTCAGTTAAGCAGCTGCCTTTGGATCAGGTCATGATCCCAGGGTCCTGGAATGGAGCCCCACATCAGGCTCCCTGCTCAGCAGGGAGTCTGCTTCTCCCTCTCCCTCTGCCCTGCTTCTCCCTCTCCCTCTGCCTGCCCTTCCCCCTGCTCGTGGTCTCCCATCTGACCTTCAGAACTGAAAGGTAATCAACTTGTCTTATTGTAAGCCACTAAATTTGTGGTCACCCGTTACAGCAGCCACAGGAAACTAAAACAAACAGCAACCAGCCCTCCCCAGGAATAGGAACTAGAAGGGGTTTTAATTGGTATTTTACATTCTTTTTGGGTAAGAGTCTAATCAAAGGTTATTAGGGTTAGTAAATAGCCCCATGCCTCCTCACAAGAGCACCCTCAACAAGTCATCATCTAGCCTCTAGCTGAACACCTTCTACACAGAAAACTCATCATCTCCCATAAATACCTGATGGACTTCAGATACCTTTAAGTATTAGAAAATTCATTTATTTTATTTTTAAGATTTTATTTATTTGGGACGCCTGGGTGGCTCAGTCGGTTAAGCAGCTGCCTTTAGCTCAGGTCATGATCCCGGGGTCCTGGGATCGAGTCCCACATCGGGCTCCCTGCTCAGCAGGGAGCCTGCTTCTCCCTCTGCCTGCCACTCTCCCTGCTTGTGCTCTGTCCCTCTCTGACAAACAAATAAATAAAATCTTAAAAAAAAAAAGATTTTATTTGACAGAGAGACAGCCAGAGAGGGAACACAAGCAGGGGGAGTAGGAGAAGGAGAAGCAGGCTTCCCACGGAGCAGGGAGCCCGATGCGGGGCTCGATCCCAGGACCCTGGGATCACGACCCAAGCCGAAGGCAGACGCCCAACGACCTAGCCACCCAGGCGCCCCTATAAAATTCATTCTTGTACTGATCTGACGCCAAAACCAGGGTTCCTTAACTCCCAGATCAGTGTTCTTTTCATTCTATTCAATTCAGCTTGAATGAGGTCTTTAGATATCAAGTTTACAATATAAACAATTTCAAAATAAAATGCACAAGATTCCTAGAAGATCCTATAGAAATGATGACAATATTTACTTTTTTTAAAGATTTTATTTATTTATTTGAGAGAGAGAATGAGATAGAATGAGCATGAGAGGGGGTAAGGTCAGAGGGAGAAGCAGACTCCCTGCTGAGCAGGGAGCCCGATGCGGGACTCGATCCCGGGATTCCAGG